GGAACATCATTGACGCAGCAGCTTGGATTAGGGACTTCTTGTATGTTTTGGCAGGACACTGTGCAGCTGCAGTTATTGTTGTCAGGCCCAAGCATCAGGTCTCTCTGTCGCAACTGCCAGTACGACCTGACCTCTTTGAGTCATATGATGATTTTAAACACGCTGTGTCCCAACGGTCCTGGTATGAACAACAGAAGACCACCCATCTTTTCCTTAAGCTGAGGGAATCCGATCCGAATCAGGCTAAGCAGTGGATCTCAAAAACTGTTTCTGCCACCTTGAATGCAACTGTTATGTTGATTTCTCCTGACACAGGCTTGCCCTTAAAAGCCCACGAAATGGCCTCAGTGGTCATGCGTGATCTGCAGGATAAGGTGGGCTCGCGTGACGCAAACGCAGCGCCCGATTCGCGTCGCGCTCTCGTAGCTATTTCAAAAATTCGTGCTCAAGGTGGTTTTTCAGAGATGGATGGGACAGACCTGCAGCGAATGCAGGCCTCGGTTTCTGTGCCTAACGAGCTCATAAATGAAATCCTAGACTCCCTAACGTCTTCGAAGCGATGGTTGCGTGGAACTGCTGCAGCTCTCAAAGCCGCATGCCCACAAGGGAGGACCCTTACAGGTTTGTTAGTTAATCTTGCTTTTTGGTTGGGTCTTACTTCTTCCTTTTGGTCCCTACGACAAATTTGTCCCATTCGCAAATCTGGACCAGCTACAGTTCGCCGCCTGGACAATTTACGACCTATTTCATTTGGTTCTGACATGGCGCAGGTTTTAGATGCGGTTTGGGTTCGTATTAACAAATCTGCCATTGAATCCTTCTGTGGACCTGGACAGTTGGGTGGCCGCAGTGATCCTGCGTCGGCTATGTTAGCGGTGCTTCATTTATGCCAGTTACGTAGAGCACAGGGGGCACCAACGTATTTGGCAATCGCAGATTTGCAAGCAGCCTTCGACTTGGCTGACATCCCTACAATGTTACACAATATCTCCAGGGCTGGAGTCGCCGGTTGCTGCTGGCTTCTAATGGATGATATCTTACACATGGATATGCAAGTGGTTTGTTTGCATGGGTATTTATCTGCTGTTTTTTCACTTGGACAAGGCACAGCCCAGGGGCGCCGGTTTTCTTCTTTCTTGTTTAATGCCTTTGCAGCTAACCTCACTAAAGCCTTGGAGAAGGCCGTCCCACAAGGCACCTGCGCTCTGTTGCCGCCTTTCGCGCATCAAGCACTGCTGCAAGCCGATTCAGTTTCTCCTGCCGTGTACTTGGACGCTCAGCCCTCATCCGCCGATGTTTGGGGACAAGCAGTCAGCGCCATCAAGGACTGCTATGTGAATGACTCCCCTCCTTGGGCTTCAAGCCTTCAGGTAACAGTTTCCCAGTTGTCTCGGTTGCCTAAACTAGCTGACCGTCTTTTGGTTCTTGACTGTTTAGGCCATTTTCCCTTAGGGCCTATACAGTATATTGATGACACCACGATGCCGTGTCCCAGTGTGGGGGCTCTTGCCGCAGTCATCGGAGATAACCAGACCTCAGCAGTTGAGACGTTTGCAACGTCATCCGGAAGCAGGATAAATCGCAAACCTGGCAAGACTACAGTCATGGCAATGTACGGCAGCCCGCCGCCTTCCTTTGACGTAGTGGGTTGTGATGTTTCTTCGGCACATAGCTGCTTGGGATTCCTTCTGGATGACCAACTCACCATGGAGCCCATGCTACAGGCAGTGGTTGCCCACGCAAACAGCGCTCTTTCGGAATTCTGCGCTGCAGCTTCTTGCGCCGGTGTTCCTCTCCCGGTCATTGCAGACGAGGTTCCGTCCCGCATTGAGTCCATTATCACGTATCGAGCCCCTTTTTTGGTTTTAGCTTCTGGTTTTGAGTCTGTTTTGAATTCTGTTCAACATAAATGGGCATTGATGATCTTGGGTTGTAGTCCTTGCACTAGTATGAGAAGCGCTTTGCCCTGTACACAACTGGGCTGGACAGCACGTCTTGGATCTCGTGTCTTGGATTTTGCCATTACGACACTTGCCAGAATGCAGTGTCTGCCGGAGGACCATCCTGCAGCTGTCATGCTGCAAGCTGCTACTCAGGTGACTCTGCCAACATGGGTTTCTGTGATCTGCCAACACATGGAACGGCTGCGTCCCTTTGGATGGATTTGGCCAATCACAGAGCATCCAGCCTTCGCACCATCGGTGTTGATAGCCAAGCGCGATCCCGCGTTTCGAAAGCAGCTTGTCCGGCAGTATAGGAGGCAGGTGGTCTCGCCAATACTGCAAGCTTATGATGAGCGTTGGCGTAGCATGCAGCTACAGTCCCATTGTGAGGGGTTTGGCCTCAGTTTCGCGCAACTTCCGTTGCAAGCGGGTGCTTTGCCTTGGACCCTCGCTATGGTGGATCTGGGGCCACGCACATTATACTCAGTAAGGACTTGGTTGTGGATTCGATGTTCTGGCCGGTGGCCCCCCTCACAAGAAGAGCCCACTGGCCCCACTTTGCGGGACTTTTGTCCTTGGTGCGGCAGTGCGCTTGTTCCTGTTCTGCACACTCTGTGCGAGTGCGAGGGAACAGCTCAAGGTAGGGAGGCTCTCCTGGCAACGCACAGGCCTCTAGATTCAGCACAGGACATCATTCAGTTTCTCTTTGACCTCAACGCTGCTCTCCACACTCTCCAGGCATGTATATTTTATGTTAACGAGGCGCTCGTTAACTTTCCTCGTAGTCCGGAAGCCGAAGGCTTGTGAAAGATCAAGCTCTTACGTGCTATCCGTTCTCTCGCTTCCCCATTGCTTGGCGGAGCGCCTCAAAGACTGAAATGCTGAAATGCTGAAATGCTTAGTATGGGCTCTTAACTTGGTACCTCTTAGGCTTTGGAGGTTTAGGGTTTAGGGTTTAGGATTTAGGGTTTAGGAGTTAGGGTTTAGGGGTATACACTCCTGATGTGCCCTATACAAATTAAGGGGCCATACATCGGAACCCTTGAAGGGAGGTTAGGGTTAAGGGCCCATGTAACTACCCTTTAAACCACTGCGTCAACTATCTCGAGGTCCAACCTAGGCCGGGGGGCGGACTTCGAAAGTCAGAGCGCCGAGCAACTTTTTGCGGGGGCTTACCAGGATGGGCGACTAGGCCTTGAAATCCCCTAAACCCTAAACCCTAAACCCTAAACCCTAAACCCTAAACCCTAAACCCTAAACCCTAAACCCTAAACCCTAAACCCTAAACCCTAAACCCTAAACCCTAAACCCTAACCTATAGAGGGCCTTTGAAGAGATTGGAATAGCCCATCCTGGTGGGGTTTCGGCCCCACTTAAGTCCCTGCAAGGGCGATAAGGGAGCGCTCCTCCCAGCCGTTGAGGGCGCGCTTGACAGATTCGGAGTCCAGGTTGGAGATGATGTAATCATCATCTCTAAACCTCGGCTTAGGAGTTTAGGGTTTAGGGTTTAGGGTTTAGGGTTTAGGGTTTGGGGTTTAGGGTTTAGGGTTTAGGGTTTAGGGTTTAGGGTTACCGGTTTCAAGGGACTAAAGGAGGGGCCCTTTTCAGGGACCTTAAGGGTTATTTAGGGGCTTGTTAGGTTTGCAGGGACTATATAAGGTACATATAAGGGTTGCATAGGGGAATAAGATTCAGGGTCCCTTCCAGGGTCCCTCCTTCGACCCCTCAACGGTAGTGGCTCTTGAAGCGATGTAGGCATCGCAATGGCCGGTGGGCCTTCGGGGTCGAGGGTATAAACGAGGGGATCCCAAGCCCGAAACCCTAACACCCAGACCCCTCTGATTCCCGAACGAGAAACCGAGAAAGCACCTTTAGGGACTTGATAGCTGCATGGAGCTATGATTTGTTGCCCTTCCCGAATATGTCAGGGGCCACTGAATTGTTGGGGTGGGTCAACAAATCAGGAAGGGGCGTGAGGACTTTAAATGGCGGGCCGAGCAGCACGTCCAGAACAGACTGCCTCCTCAGCACAAGATCCATTGGCAATGAGTTTTCCACACAAAAAGGGACTACTGGGGCAGTCGCCTTTACATATCAAAAGGGCTGAGGCTACAAGCTTCTGCTTGCACGCGCCCCACCCACAAGAACCCGCCGGACCGGACAAAATCGCGGCGAGCTTACAATCGAAAGCCCTACTTAATTACTCTACATTGACGGCAGGACCGGGGAAACGTGTTTCAAACGGTGAGTGGCCAGTGAGGGCAGTTTCCCAGCCCCCACACTGCACCCAATAAACCTAACACACAGGAGACCTTTTTGGGGGCCAGCGCGTCCGATCCGGGAAGGGAACAGTACAGGAGCAGTTGTAGTTCGTTTAGAGGTCCGCGGCATTCAACATTAACAACACGTACACTACATGAGGGTGGGGGGGCCTTATGAACAAATCAAGTCTCCGGATTCTCCGTGGCATATCTCGGGGAATAGGATTGATTCGGGCCTATAAGTATAGAACTGAAATCTAAGAACCCTGAACCCTATACACCCTCTTCACCACAAACGCTAAAACCTGAACAATCCTAACCTATGTAAAGCACCTGGGCCACCCTGATCGCAGATCCTGCGCACTACCTACATGGGATCCTATACTAGCTACTCAGTGCTCGCGGCTTAGCAGGCTTTGTAGGGTTTACAGGGTTTACGGTTTAGTGAATTTGTACACTCCTGCACCTCAGATAATCTCAACCACACCGTCAAAGGCCCAAATAACGCTTGAATTAGCCTCAAGTTTTCCATGTGGGGATAGAAATGAAATCCGGCAAGAAACGCGTTCACATATTTTTTTGTGTTTTTTTTCAGATGCATGCTCTAGGGAAAGCGAAGATTAGCCTTTGAGTTCTAAGGGGGGTTACCGAGCACCTGCAAGGGTACTGCTTCGACCCCCTGATCTAAGGTCCGCAAACCCCACACCCTAAATCACTCAAGGATAGCGTGGAGGGTTCCAGGTATGGGGCCCTCTGAATGTGGGTCCCTTGAAATATTAACCCTTACATACACACGCTATAGAATAAGGGCCCATACTTCGGAGTCCCGATGAACAAGGGTGAGGGGCCCTACTAAGGGCCCATGGTTCCAACCGTAAGTCAGGCGGGGGCCAGAACAGGGAACCCTGGACCCTAAACCCTAAACCCTAGACCCTAAACCCTGTAAACCCTAAACTGCGGGGGGTTCAGAACAGGATCCCATGGTACTTTGTTCCGTCCCAGGTTCCCGCAGAAGGGGCCGAAAGCGAAGCACTTGCGGCCCTCGAAAACAGTGACCCCATCCACCTCGGTTTTTGAAGTTCAAGTGCTGAGGTTTAGGGTTTAGGCTTAAGGCTTCGGGCTGAAGGGTTGCAGGGTTTTGGGGTTTCGGGTTTTCGGGCTTAGTTCGTGAGATATATTGCTTCAGGGTCTTTTGCCGCCACGCTTGGTGTCTGGCAATGGCAAAGCCGGCATCGTTGCATGGGGTTTAGAGCTTAGGGTTTAGGGAATGCAAACGCATGCCCCGGTAGGGTTCAGAGTTTGGCGGGCTTAGGGGTTGGGGCTTAGGGTTGAGGGTTTGCCATGAAGGCGTGCAATCCGCTTCCCACAAAAGCAGTCGTGCTCTGCATTTCAATGAAGATGTGCTCTGCACCGAGGGCCTACGTGTGGAGGCTCATGGGTACCGACCCAGAGGGTCCATTTTGTATTGCCAAGGTACCCAAAAACCCTATTTAGTATTGTTTTTGGGTACCTAATTCCATAATTGTAATGCACATGGACCCTCTGGATTATAAGTAGCGGGGCGGGGGGGGGGGGGGGGGGGGTTGGGGGGTTGGAAAGGAGGGTGAACGTGTTGGAACCGTGAAAACTTCGGGCGCCTATAAACCTACAACTATGTACCCATGAATCTTCAAGCACCTTGCAGAGTCAGAGAACTTTCCAGCTCATTGCAAGTCAACCACGGTAAACCTCAGGCTCTCAGAACTAGATTGCAACAGCAACTCATTCAACACCTTGCCAAGATGCCCTCGTTGGCCGGCCGTTGAAGTCTGGCGGAGTCGAGATGTTCTTCACAAATCTTGAGGGGTAAAGAAACCTCAACCCTAACCGCTAAACCCTACACCCTAAACCCTAAGCCCTAACCCTACACCCTAAACCCTAAAACCTAAACCCTAAACCCAAAACCCAAAACCGGTTGAGGGTCCATGGGGGATTCGGAATCCTCGCAGGGACACGCTGCTCAAGGGGTTTCACTTTTACTCAGGGCTAACGTAGCAGGGGCCCGTATGTGGAGTAGGGGAGTGTTGCAGTAGCAGGGGAGGATCCCGTATTTGAAGGAAGGAGCCCAGAATTCTACGCCCCATATGGGTGGTTGTCAAAAATATTGTCCCTTTTGGACTCCCTCTTCCAATACGGCCCCCAATTTTTATGGTACCCTAAAAGGTGTCATAATTTTGACAACCCATATTGAGGGGGATATAGCCGGTAAGCACGGACACCCCGCAGCCGAAAGCCCTGAAAAGGAAGCCCTAAACCCTAAACCCTAAACCCACAAACAGGAAGCCCAGAAGCTCCAGCTGCCAGCGTAGATGGTCCACGGGCGCTCGTCGCCCACGGAGCGCTTGTGGTCGGCATCCAACTGCCTGGACTTTGGGCTAAGAGCTCAGGGGTAAGGGGTTCGGGGTTTAGGGTTTAGGATTTAGGGTTTAGGGGTTCGGGCTTAAGGGGTTCAGGGTTTAGGGTTTAGGATTTAGGGTTTAGGGGTTCGGGCTTTAGGGGTTCAGGGTTTAGGGTATAGGATTTAGGGTTTAGGGTTCAGGGTTTAGGGGTTCGGAGTTCAGGGTTCAGGGTTTAGGGTTCAGGGTATAGGGTTTAGGGTTCAGGGTTTAGGGTTTTTGAGGGGTTGAGGGCTTCGGGCCAAGTTCGGAGCCTACAAGTGCAGATGACCTCTCAGAACGCTCCATTTCGACTGCTAGTTCGTTGCTGTTGGGTGGAAGGCCCTGTAGATTCCTGTTCCCTGCTAATTACCATCGATGCACGCTCCATGCGCCACATGCCATGTATGCCATGCGGGCATCAGATTCTCTGCCGCTGCGCGGGAAGACGCCCGAAACCACCCGAAGCAATCCTTAAACACATACAGTGCTTGCACACCCAGCTTTTGCTCCTCAACTAAGGGGGTTCTACCTGAAATTCCCAGCAGCGTTCTGCATGTCATTGAAAGGCGAAAGCTTGAACCCTAAACTCTGAACCCTGAACCCTTCATCCTGAATCTCTAGACCCTCGACATTCCTGAAATACCCTACAACCTGAACCACTGGATCCTCAAAACCCGAACCATAATAACTCATAACCCTAAAAACTCATAATCCTCACTGCGCTAAGCCCTACGACCTAGTAACCCCTAGTCCCCAATAACTCATTGCCCTAACTGCCCACAAGCAGAGTAACCAATAGCCCTAAACCCTGAGCCCCTAGACCCTAAACCCTAGAGCCTAAACCCGAAACCCTAAACCCGAAACCCTAAACCCTAAACCCTGAGCCAGATGCTCCACCAGGGCATCGCCATCGATGGTAATGTTCAGGATCTGCCTCGCGAATGGGAACTTTGGGGGATTGGCCCTGGGATTCCCGGGGCTTGGGCGTGTTTCGGGTTTAGGGGTTAGGGGTTAGGGTTTAGGGTTGAGGGTGGAGGGTTGAAAGTTTGGGGTCTTAGGGCCTCGGGACTTCGATTCTGGCAGGTTGGACGAAACCACCCGAAGGAACCCCTAAACCCTAAACCCTAAACCCCAAAGACTCCAGGCCAAGCGCCCCCCAAAGATCTCTGCACACGCCGCCACCATAGTTCGCATGAGCAAGAGCTACAAGGGCCCTTAAAATTGGGTTAAGGCTTCGGGGGGGCTTCTTCACAACCCTCGGCCCTGCATTGGGTTAGGGTTTAGGATTTTGGGCTTGAAGGACTGGTTGGTTCTCAAGCCCTGCACGCATTGGCTTCGTGGAATCACAAGAGCCTTGCCCCGGAACAGGAAAACCCGTACCCCTAAACCCTAAACCCTAAGCCCTAAACGTGTAGGGTGCAGGATGTGAAGTTGCAGCCATTAAGAGAAAGGGTTGCCCCCAAACCCCAAACGCTAAATAACCCCCCCCCCCCACATGCACGCTGAATTGGCAGCTGGGGTGCTCGTTGATTTCGTGGAAGCGCTGGAGGTACTTGGGATCCAAGATGTTACCTTCGGCAGGTTTTGGTTTTAGGGTTTGCGGCTCAGGGCTTAGGGTTTTAGGTTTAGGGTTTAGGGGTTTCGGGTTTAGGGCTTAGGGTTTGGGGTTGAGAGTGTGCGGCTACGAAGCTCAGGGTTGTCGAACATCGGGGCGGGGAGGGGGGCTAGAACGGCACAGGTTAGGGTCTAGAAGCTTCTTAAACACGTAGGTGCACCTATATGTAACATGTACATAGAAGAACCCCTGTACATGAACGTACAAACCACATGTCTATGTAAATATGTTGTATAGGGACAGAGAAAAAGATTTTACTGAGATGCATAGACCAGCTCTGGGGACATCGAAATAGGGTTTAGGGTTTGGGGTTGATTGCTTTCTTGCACCACACGGCCAGGGGTCTCACGCTCGCACACCTGCACATCCTCGCTGGTTTTGTGCCCTGTGGCAACAGCACGTTACAGCAGAGACAATCATCTAGCAAAGGGGCCTAGTTCATTGGAATGGGCTTTTGGGTAGAATATTCTTATAGGTGGACTAGGGTTTAGGGTTTAGGGTTTAGGGTACTATCTAGGACGTGGCTCAGTTCTCTTCGTCGACATCGGCGCATGTCGCAGAGAAGAGGTTGATGCGGGCATTTCCCGGCCACGTGTTCGACACCTCGGTGTGCGGCTTCAGGTTAAGGGTTAAGGGTTAAGGGTTTAGGGTTTAGGGTTTAGCGTCTTTAGGGCCAGGTTCGTAGGGTTTAGCGTTAGGGCTTTAGGGTTTAGAGTTCTTTGACGTTGGCGCACGCGCGCATGCTCGCATGAGGGTCATGTGCGTTTGAGGCGGTTGGGCTTGTGTGTTGGGTTGGAAGTGCTGGCTGCTCGTTGAGGTTGTTTGACGAATCTTCGGCATGAAGCAAGGCCGGCAGATGCGAAGACGGCCAAAAAACGGCCGCGTCTTAGCTTGTGGGTATTTTTACCCAATCAGGGGACCCCTGTCGCCATTAAGACTCCATATTGTCGTAGGAACCTGACCATGGTGTGGGGCAGGAAGGGAAGCGGAACTGGGAAAGCGGAAGCGCAGAGATTCGGTTGAGATGCGGCCTTCTACCTTGGGGCCTCATATACTTATAAGCAAGTCTAGACCCAGGAGTCTCCTAGTCATAAGAAGGGTGACCCTGTTTGGGTTTAAGGGGATTATAAGGGAACCCTAACCCCACAAAAAGGGAATCAGGGCCTACTCTGGGTCCAAAATTCTAAACCCTAAAGTAGGGTATTTATGACACAGCCTGCCAATACCCCTGGACCTCCAGCCGGGCTATCAGGCTATCATGGATGAGGTCCTTTGGGTGGGGGAGGGAGTGGTTAGGTGTAGGGCTTAGGGTTTACGACTTAGGCTTTGGGGTTTAGGGTTTAGGGTCTAGGGTTCAGGGCTTATAGGGTTTAGGGGGATTACATAGGAGGATCAGGGATCACGGTAGGCTTCGAGTCACAGCACGAACTGTAAACATTCCGAACTCCAAACCTGCATGACTCAACAACCTGCCTGGCCCTAGACGGTATAAACCCTACGCTGCAACATTCTTCGGTGGCCAACCTTACTAGACCCAAGATCCTAGGAATAAAAGGGTGCCCTTTGTGCAAGGTTTCAAGCTCAAAGGGGCTTAAGACGGAACCCGAACCCTAACACAAAAACTTAAGGGCCTACCCTGGGTCGTACCTTAACAAGATTCATGGCCGCGAGAACGGCTGCCGTGTACTTATTGCGGGTTCAGGGAAGGAGCAGCGCTGCATTTGTTTCTGACACTTCGCGCGCTCTCCGTCAGTCATTGGCATCTGCATGTAGAGCACTGCAGATTCAGCGTGCCCAGACCCTTCCTGTGTCTGACCTTGCTCATTCTCCGCGCTAAACCCTAAACCTTAAACCCTAAACCCCAACCCAAACTGCCTGTCAGCACCCCGCCATCCCAAGAAAAGCCCCGGATTACATACTCAAGAGAAAGAACTTCCGCTTCCCCTAACCCCTTCCCCCTCTCAAAGCTCCAGACCTCGGGAAAACCAACAGAATCCCAACCTCTAAACCGCCTATAAACGCTATCAATCCTACAAACCCCCATAAGCCCGATAAACCCTGTAAATCCTATAAACCCTATAAGCCCTATAAACCCTATAAGCCCCATAAACCCGATAAGCGCTACAAGCCCTTTAAACCCTACAGACCCTTTAAGCCCTATGAACCCTATGAGCCCTATAAGCCCGATAACCCCTCTAAACCCTACACTCCAATCCCAAGCTACCAGGGCCAGACCCTAAACCCTAAACCCTAAACCCTAAACCCTAAACCCTAAACCCTAAACCCTAAACCCTAAACCCTAAACCCTAGACAACCCTCCAAGGGTCTGGTTCCGCTAGCCAGAAGGACTCTCCTCCGAGGGGCATCTTCTGTCGTGGAGTCCCTGGGTTCTAGGGACTGGGTTTAGGGTTTAGGGTTTAAGATTTAGGGTTTGGGATTTGGGGTTTAGGGTTTGGGGTTCGGGTTTTGGGGTTTGGGGTTTGGGGTTTGGGGTTTAGGGTCAGGGGTTTAGAGTTTATAGAGCTTTGGGGTAAAGGATACAGGGTTTATGGAGTTTGGGGTGTATGGGGTTTGGGGTTTAAAGTTTAGGGCTGAAAGAGTCTTGGGGTTTAGGGTTTAGGATTTAGGGTTCAGGGTTTGGGGTTAGGCTTATACGGCCCTAGACATTTGACCCGAAGCCCTCATGCAGAACCAACCGGAATACCGGTATTGCACAGTAGGGAAGGAAGGAATGCAGGAATTGGGCAGCAGGGGGGGGGGGTGCGATTAAATCATCCTCCTACCATTCCAGAGACTGAGCCGTTGTTAATCCTAAACTATAAGCCCTAAACCCTAAACCCTAAACCCTAAACCCTAAACCCTAAACCCTAAACCCTAAGCCCTACACTTCTAACCCTTCAAGGTGTTTGAGAACTGGGGATGCGTGGGGTTGAGAGGGGCTCTGCGGCTCGGGGCCCCTCCGTTACTGCCAAGAGCTCAGGAGACTTTCGGCGTGTCTTTGGGGGGATGCTTTCAGGGATGTGGGCTGACAAAAGAGGGTGAGGGTTTAGGGTTTAGGGTTTAGGGTTCAGGGTTCAGGGTTCAGGGTTCAGGGTTCAGGGTTCAGGGTTTAAAATTTAGGGTTTAGGCTGATTTGGGATGATTTCGGGTGTCATCCATGGGCTGCTTGTTAAGGACCTCAGCACCCCGTCTCCTTTCGTCACAAGTCTCCTGAGCTTTCAAGGCATTTGCAGCAGCTTCGGTGCTTGCAGGGGGTTTAGGGTTTAGGGTTTCGGGTTTAGGGTTTAGGGTTTAGGGTTGCAGGAACGCGGGGGCGCCTAGCGCAAGGCGGCCTGATTTCCAGCCGCGCACCGCTCGCGTCGTACGTCGGAAACGTGGCCTTCGAAAGGCCAGCAAAGAGAAAGCGCTAGGGCAATGGCCCTTGCACTTCCAGATTCACTAACTTACCATCCTTCTTGTAGGCAGCTCTGAAGCGACTCAGATACGGAACAATAATCCCCGAATACTAAATACTGTTTTAAATACTCCCCATACACTATAAAATAACAACACGGGGCGGGAGTCTATACTAGGGGGAAGGGATTGCCTGCCCACTTCCCTCCTAAGTACAAGGAAGCCCTGAACCCTAAACCCCAAACCCCAATCCCCAAACCCTAAACCCTAAAACCCTAAACCCTAAACCCCAAACCCTAAAGCCTAAACCCTAAACCCTAAAACCTAAACCCCATTATCTTGGTCCCGGTCGTGGAGGCTCTCAGGCCCCACCTCCTTTCGTCGGCACCTCCGGTTAGGGGGGGGGGGGTTTACAAGTAGGGTTTAGGAGGTTTTGGGGTTGAGGGTTTAGGGTTTAGGGTTTAGGTTTTAGCTTTTGGGGTTACAAGTAGGGTTCTTTAGTTGCTGAAATCATAAGCCCCCCAAAAAGGTGCGCACTTTCAGTTCTATAGGGGATGAAAGTACGTAATCCCAAAAAGTGTAAAGTGTGCTCGCTCAGCTCCTAGGGGTTTAGGAGGGTTTGGGGTTGAGGGTTTAGGGCCCTTCGGTACATAAAGGGGTCCCCAACTAAGGGCCAGAACCCTAAACCCTTGTAACACTATAAACCCTAAGGCCTTTCCCAACTATGGGCCTCTGCACCCCCAAACCCCAAACCCTAAACCCCGAACCCTAAGCCCTAAACCCCGAACCCTAAACCAAAAACCCCAAACCCTAAACCCTAAACCCTAACCTCGACAACGCGCCACTGACTTACGCCTCAGCTTGAGATTTGCAAAGCCTGGCTTCTTGAGGATTATGGGGACATGGGCATGGCCACCAACAATTCGGGTCGGGGTTTGGGGTATGGGGTTTGGGGTTTGGGGTTTGGGGTTCTGGATGCAGGGCCTAATTATACGGGTGCTCTAAGGCGGTGCTAACTCAGTAAGGTTCAGGCCTTTTGGGGTCTAGGGATTCGGGTTTAGTTTTACTATGTAGGGACCATAAAGGGAATATCATTAGTACTTCTTCTGACCCCATGTAGCACATAATAGAGGCCGGCCCTCGGCCCTCCATCCTCTTAGCTCTCATTCATGTGGGGTGCTCCTAACCCTACGGATAAGTACCCATGAACCTCCAAGTAGCCCTAAACCCTAAACCCTAAACCCTAAACCCTGAACCCTGAACCCTGAACCCTTGCTCCCCGCCGTGCCTTCAGAATCCGCTTGATCTCTGTGGCGGCTTGCACCTGACTTATCGGAAAGCCCTCGGAGACCGCTTGGGACATGTTAGGGTTTAGGGTTTAGGGTTTAGGGTTTAGGGTCTAGGGTTTAGGGTTTACGGATTAGGGTTAAGGGTTTAGGATGGGTTTAGGGCGCCTTTATAGCCCCTCCCCTGTGTGACGTTACTTGGGGCTACATAAGGGCCCCCAGCAGGCAAACCCTTGAAGGAGCCCTCTGGGCCCTATAGCTCCTGAATTCCTTGCAAGCCGGTAAGCTTCTGTTGGGACTCCTGTCGTTGCTTGTTGGGGGGGCTGGCCCGATAAACCCTGAACCCTGAACCCTGAACCCTGAACCCTGAACCCTGAACCCTGAACCCTGAACCCTGAACCCTGAACCCTAAACCCTAAACCCTAAACCCTAAACCCTAAACCCTAAACCCTAAACCCTAAACCCTGACCCTAAACCCTAAACCCTGGGCACCTTCTCCGACTCTGTGAGTTCGGGCTCTGCAGGCCAGGCATCATCTGGCCAGCCGCCTGCAGCCAAAGCCGTGCACCCGTGCGCCCTACACACCTGAACCCGGCCCCTAACCTAGAGCCTGAACCCTAAAACCCAAGAACCCTGAACCTCAGACGCTGTGCCCGAGAGGTGGAGGGGTTGGGTTCAGGGGTTCCCTAAAAACCCCAAAACCTTTTCAGCCTTGGGATGTGACCCCGTATACTGACATCCCTTAATAGTCATTATAATCCCTACTAAAGGACTGTTAGTATAAGGGGGAACATCCCAACCCAAAACCCTTTCAGCCTTGGGCTCAGGGCGTTTGGGATTCTTTGGATTTGGGAGGGTCGCGGTGGGGTTGGGCTACACTTGGCCCTCTTGGTACCATAAGGCAAAAGGGTCACAAGGACTGCACAATTCAAAACGAGACCCTTAATGAACCCCGAACCCTCACTGAACCTTAAACCCACATTCCCCCCCCCCCCCCCCCCCCCCAACCCTCATAACCCAAACCCTAACCCTATAGTAGCACTCATCTTAACCCCCCAAACCCTAAACCGTTGTGTCAGCATCCGAACACTTAAGCCCCACATAGCCCAAATATTTATTCGTACGGCTTCTCGGCGCACAGTCACAGTCTTAGAGCCTTAGGGTGAGGGGGTTACGGCCATAGCCAGATGGAACTGTGGATACCCTGTAGGCCTAGCCTCTAAGCCCTAGAACCATACAAACCCTAAAGCCCTGAAGCCCTAAAGCCTAAAACCCTAAGGCCCTCAAAGCCGAAAACCTTGAAACCCTGAAGCCCAAAGCACCAAAGTTCCAAAAACCGAAAACCCTGAACAAAAAGGGGAACCAGGGCCTACTCTGGGTCCTAGCAAAATAAGCTTCGGCTTCTTCCCGGCGGTTCCAGGCCTGCGGTGTCTACGGCATGGCGATCGTCCTGGGCTTTGGCTGAATTTTGGGGGCTTTAGGGGCCTCAGCTTGTCTTTTCGTTGTTTTGTTTATTTGTTGTTGTAGTTTTAGGTTATTGTTTTCCTTGCTTGTTTGATTGTTTTTTTTTGGTGGGGGTGGAGACCTAAACCCTATAGACTATAGACCCTAACCTCTTAGCCCTAAACAGGCTTAGGGGGGGAGGGGGGGGGCTTCGGGCTGAAGGTTTTACCGGGAAGCCTTCGGGCTGAAGGTTTCGGTGTTCGGCTTCGGTGTTCGGTTCTCGGGTTTTAGGGTTTTTTTTTTTTTTTTTTTTTAAGTGAGTCGGACTTTTTAGAGGTTTAAGGTTTGGGTGTTTAGGGTTTAGGGTTCAGGGTTGAGGGACTTGAGGTTGAAGGTCGGAGAACCACGGTGGTTTTGCTGCATTCTGCATTCTGCAGGCTTGAAACCGACACCGAAGCCCTAAACACTAAACTTCAAACCCCAAAGCCTTGACCCAAACCCGAAACCCGAAACCCGAAACCCGAAACCCGAAACCCGAAACCCTAAACCCTAAACCCTAAACCCTAAACCCTAAACCTCAACCCTACACCCTAAACCCTAAACCCTAAACCCTAAACCCTAACCCTAAACCCTAAACCCTTAACCCTGAACCTCTAAACCCTAAACCCCAAACCCTCCAAAGACCTCCTCCAGAACCCACGTTTTGAAACACTGGAGCAGAAAACGCGCGACTCCCACGGCCAAGGCACGGATTCCCAGTCGCAGGTGAGCGGGCCGACTTCGCACCACTCTTCGCCGTAGTACTCGTACTCATCATACTGATCATACTCATCTTCCTAGGCGGTGATTAGGGGGGTTTTGGGTTTAGGGTTTAGGGTTTATGGTTTAGGGTTTAGGGTTTCATGGAACCGCTTAAAGGGGGCCTTCGAATTTCGGGGGCGCGCGGCTTCGCTCGATAAGATCCACTGGCTGTAGGGCCCCTGAGCCCTAACCCTAGAAAACACTCCTAGAAAACACTGTAACCCCCATTAACCCCACAAACCTCCAAAAGCAGCCTAGAAACACTACGAACCCCATAAACCCTACAAACCCCTGAAACTCCTGAACATTCAACCTGAAACCCTTAAACCCTAAACCCTAAACCCCTCAACTCTCAACTCCGCAGCCTTTCCCAATGCTCCGAACGCCCGAGCGTCTGCGTACTTGGGGTCGTCAGGATAATCCTCGACATGCCCAGACCTCTGATCCCCAAGACCTATATAAAACCCTATGTAAACCCTAAACCCTAAACCCCAAATCCTAAACCCTAAACCCCAAACCCTAAACAACCCAGCTGGAAAATTTGGGGCTTGCGGTCCTTAGAAGCCTGAACCCGGAACCCCTGAACCCTACACCCTGAACCCCTGAACCCCTAATGAGTCCGTTCTTTGCTGGAATTTGGAAGGACCCACCCGTACAAGAAGTGGTGTCCTAGGGCTTGGGGGCTTAGGGGTGTAGGGGGGCTTAGGGGCCTGGGGGCTTCGGGGCTTAGGGTTTAGGGTTTCGGGTTTAGGAGCTCCTGGTCGTAGTCCGCCTTGTAGGCGTTCGGACCGGCGGGGAGGCCATTTTCGAGGCGGTACTCCTTGAAGCCAGGCTTCGAGAGGATTTAGGGTTTAGGGTTTATCCTTCTTGAGCAGCGCCCCAACCCTAAACCCTGAACCCTGAACCCTCAGACCCGAAACCCTCAAACCCCGTGCCAGGCAACCCTAAACCCTACACACTAAACCCTAAAACAATCCGAGGTTCGAGGTCACCAACCTCCCAGGCCCAGCTAAGCGCACCGACGTCCCAATATTCCTTGGCGTCGTAGCCGCTTTTGGGGGGTTTTTGGATTGAGGGCTCAGGGTTTGTCTGGGGCTCCATTTCCTAAAATTTTGGGGGGTTATGCCCTATATTGCTATAGCCTATATTTAGGGTGTTACAACCTGCTGTTATTGTGGGTTTGGGAGTCGCAGGTAGTGTTTAGGGTTTCAGGCTTATAGCCCTAGGGTTCTGAGGATGCATCTCTTTAGGGGTTGGGTGGGCCGCATTAAGATGCACTTAGGCGCTTCTTGAGGGGCACAGTGCTTGGAGGGTCCAGGAGGGGTTTAGGGTTGTAGGGTGTTAGAGGTTTGCTTGCGGCTATTTTGAGCCTTTTGGGGTGATCTGGTTTTCGGCTTTGGGTTTGGGGCTGTAGGGGTCCAGGCTTTGGGGTTCTAGGGTCTAAGGGGGCTGTAGGGTTTTAGGTTGATGGCTTCGGGAGGACTTTGGGGTTTTCGGGCTAAGGGTTGCGGCTTTTCGGCTTCGGGCGTCTGGGGGGGTAGTCACGGTTGCTGCTGGGCGGGGACAGGCGAAGGCCGGAGGCTTTTCCCCTAAACCCTAAACCCTAAACCCTAAACCCTAAACCCCAATCGTGCAGGTCCGGACATGTCATGTGAAGATGAAGCCCTGCCGGTTCCGCGTTCGGGTTTAGGCCTCAGGGTCCGAAGGGTTCCTATTTAGGGTTCAGCGTGATAGTACGCAGACCTAAATGCAACTGCGACAAGATCCTCAGTGTTCGTTCCTTTTTGGGGACGAGGGGCTATCCCTGCATTCTTGGGGTAGGTACGCAAATATGGGCCCTTAAATGGGGACCCCTTATATGCCCCTTCTGTACCCGATACAACCCAGGGGCGCATACTTCAGAACCCTTTAAAGGAGGTAAGAGACCATATTCAGGGACCATGAAACTACAACCCCTAAACCCTAAACCCTAAACCCTAAACCCCTCCATATTGCGCCCCCCAGGCTCGGCATCCCCGTCGTAGGGCCAATCCTCTTCCGCCTCATCAACCTCAGCCTCCTCTTCTTCATCCTCCTCCTGCGGGCAGGTCTGAGGCCTACCCTAATGGGGTTTAGGGTTTGGGGTTTAGGGTTTGGGGTTTAGCGTTTATGGTAACTTTAGTCATCCTCCTCCTGCGCGGGTCGACCCTACTGGTTGCTTCAGAACCCCTCCCCAAAAAAAACACACACACACACACAAAGAAACTTCCCTATAATAATTATTACCCTATGAGGACCATATCATCTTATATTTGTTTGGGGGGTTCTTCAGGAACTAGTAGCTAAGCCCTACTCGAAGGTCATATTAGGCTGGGGAGCCAAATTGCTAGGGGTTAGGTTTAGGGTTTAGGGTTTAGGGTTTAGGGTTTAGGGTTTAGGGTTTAGGGTTTAGGGTTTAGGGTTTAGGGTTTAGGGTTTAGGGTTTAGGGTTTAGGGTTTAGGGGTTAGGGTTTAGGGTTTAGGGGTAGGGTCTAGGGTCTAGGGTCTAGGGTCTAGGGTCTAGGGTCTAGGGTTCTAGGGTTTCTAGGGTTTAGGGTTTAGGGTTTGGGGTTTAGGGCTACTAAAGGTTCAAATGTCAAAACACTAACTCAAGCCCTGAACTCCAACAAGCCACCCCAGGGCCCCCCCTGGGCCTGTTCTGCATCGGCCCAGGCGCACTCCTCGCAGAACGTGTGCTTGCACGATGGGCAGGCAAAGCGCTGGACGCTTCCTTTGACTTCCTCGCCTTGGCTTTTCTGCCAATTGCTTAAGAACCCCTCAAAAAATAAGAAACATCTTCCTTATTGAGGGTAATATAGGGATTAGTTTTGTTTTTTTAGGGGGGGGTCTTAAGCAAATAGCATTTTTGAGTTTAGGGTTTAGGGTTTAGGGTTTGGGGTTGAGTCTTGAGTCGAGCTTAGGGCTATTTTTTGGGCATTTTGGGGTATTCTTGGCTAAGGGAATTCAGGTGGCTTGGAGCCAGGAAAGGACGGAAGTCAAGGATAACACTGCCTTCGGCGTCGTTTTGAGCACAAGGTTCTTGGTCTTAGGGTTTAGGGTTTTAGGGTTTAGGGTTTAAGGCAAAATGCAACCCAGTCACACAATTTGCAATACCAACGGCTCTGCTCCCCTTCGTCGATGAGGCAGGGGTGGGAAGGGCACAAAGGGCATACCAGTGCTTCTTCGTCGTCCATGCGTTCAACCACGGCGCACGGATCGACTGAGGCTGTCAAAGTCTAAACTAAAACTGGGCCGTCGCTGCTGCAGGAAGACTTAGGGTTTAGGGTTTAGGGTTTAGGGTTTAGGGTTTAGGGTTTAGGGTTTAGGGTTTAGGGTAAGGGTTTAGGGTTTGACTGGCAGATGCGCATGGCTGCTAGTTGTCTCAAAGCTCCGGTGCCAAAAGAAGCCCAGAACCTAAGACCCCACAGACCCCAAAAGGCTTTACGCAGCCCACCCAACCCGAAACCTAATACCCAAACTCAAGCCGCAAACCCCTGGACCATCAGAGCCGGAAGAAGAGTTCCCAGTTTTCCTACTGAAGGCTCTCAGACACGGGGTAGGTAGCCCTCTGCACTCCAGCCATTTGCGTCTCCGTTGACGCGACAAAATCAACGTCGAGCTTATGTAGATGAGAAGCCTCACGAATACGTTAAACCAGGATTTTGGAGCTTTGGGGGTAAAAGGGGTTATCGTTTTGGGGGTTTAGGCTTAAGGGTGTCCGTTTCAGTCCCTAAACCCTAAACCCTAAACCGTAAACCCTAAACCCTACTGGGAGGCTGGAAGCTGAACCCACTGGAAGCCGGGTTCCTCGCGTAGTCGTTGTGGGTCAGGGCCAGTGAGCCTGCAACGCACCCCTGGACCCCTAGACCCGAAATCCCCAACCCTAAGCCCTAAGTCCTAAATCGTAAACCCCAACCCTAACCCTAAACCCTAAACCCTAAACCCTTAAACCCTTAAACCCCTGCAATAAAGAAGACCAATTCAAGGGTTTAGGCTTGAGGGCTCGGGCTTCGGCTCCTCCGCGGGTCGAAACTCTGAAGGAAGACTACAGGACCGGAAAAAGTCAAAAACGCCCGCTTCCGGTCCCAGAAACCCTAAACCCTAAACCCTAAACCCTAAACCCTAAACCCTAAACCCTAAACCCTAAACCCTAAACCCTAAACCCTAAACCTAAACCCTAAACCCTAAACCCTAAACCCTAAACCCTAAACCCCCAAAACCCTGAACCCCAACTTCCCTTCCTTCACCTCCCCCCACAGATTGGCGCTCGAAGCCCTAAACCCTAAACCCCACAATCCTAAACCCCACAATCCTGAAAAGCCCGGCCCGAAACCCGAAATTCCACGGGGCGCCTGCAGGAACCCACTGCTTCTCTGGCCGCGTCTCGCTCCTCCGAGACGGTTCTTCCGTTGGTTCTACAGATTCTCCTTTAGGGTTTAGGGTTTAGGGTTTAGGGTTTAGGGTTTAGGGTTTAGGGTTTAGGCTATTTCTGGTTTTTTTGGCTATTCTTGCCATTGTCGAAATGAGTATTGCTATTCTTGTTACTACGGGCAGAGATGCTGCGTGCCGCCGCTGCCGCCGCCGCTGCCGCCACACTTTGTGTTGAAAACTTGGGCGGTTTAGTGCGACAGCTGGTTTTTGATGCTTTTTGCTGGCGTGCCGGGCTGCAAGAGCCGGCTAAGAGTTTGACAAGGCTCGTGAGGAAAGCAAAGCCACCACCGCAGACGACGACGAAAACCAGGCTACCAATCAGGCTCTTCACCTCAGCTGGGGTGGATGTACAAATGGGGGAGGGGGGCTCTGCAAAAGTTGAACTGCTATGAGGGGTTTAGGGTGGTTTGTGGTTTAGGCTTATGTAAAGTTATGCAGGGTTGAGGGCCCATAGAACGTAAATGATTGGTCCAATCCAACCCCAGTTTTCTCAGGCCAATACCAATAGCTTGGACAATCTCCGTGCAATTCCCCTTTCTATAAACTAAACCCTAAGTCCGGAAGGATCCCGCGGAAAATGCACCCTAAACCCTAAACCCTAAACCCTAAACCATTTGGAAGCCCCGGAGACAAACCCTGCACAGACGGGCACAGACACATAGCCAGGGCTAGATGGACACAGAGAGAGACACTTAGGGTTTAGGGTTTAGGGTTTAGGGTTGGGGACACTGGGGAATGCTTGCCACAGCCCCGATAAGACAGTGATAGCATGTAGGCCTTTATGGACCAACTGCAACGACCAGGAAGGGACCCGCTAGGCTGTTTAGGGTTTAGGGTTTAGGGTTTAGGGGAGTGATGAGCCACAAGAGATGCGTCCCAGCTGCCGGATGCCGCCCGACCTTGCGGCCGGCGTTCTCGAAGATGCTTTCGAGGAAGCGTTCGACGACACCTCGGAGAAAAGAAAAGGGCAGTCCAGGATGGGCTATTAGACCCTATAATCCCCATAATGAACCTTTTAAAGGGTTGTTTTAAGGGACTATGGGGTATACTAGCCAATCCTGGTTCCCAGGTCCGAGGCGTGCACTGCGCTGTGCGCCAACCCCGAACCCCAAGCCCCTCGCCCCTAAACCCTAAGCCTCAGAACCCCCCCCCCCCCCAACCCTAAACCCAAAACCCAAAACCCTAAACCCTAAACCCTCAACCCCCCCCCCCCCCCCCCCCCCCAAATAAAAAACCCAACCCTAATCCGCCAAACACTTGCACACCAAGTTGAAGTCTAAGGGAAAAGTTACACGGGCCCTGAATATGGGCCCTTACAAGGGGAATCCATCTATACCCCTTTTTGACTGTAGACCCTATACAAATTAAGGGCCGATGCATCGGAACCCTTTAAGGGTATTAAGGGCCCATGTAACTACCCTGCGAGTCTCAAAAGACGGGAGAACCTGCAACTTGGAGAAGTGGGGCGGGCCTTCCTGGCCCATGTCGGGTTTTCTATGGGGCTTGTGGGGCTTATGCGGTTCAGGGTTTAGGGCTTAGGGTTTAGGGTTTAGGGCTTAGGGTTTAGGGTAAAGTTTGGGGATTTGGGAAAAAAAGTGCACATGGTTTATAGGTCGACCGACCAGCAGGGCCCTGAACTCTCATGCAGCTCTGCAGGACTGCTCCAAAGGGGGCAATACGATCCCAAACGAAGCTTCAACCCTAACCCTAAACCCTAAACCCTAAACCCTAAACCCTAAACCCTCAACACTAAAGCGTCACTGAGGAGCCCATGACTCCTCAGCCGGGAGTCCGTGCCGAGGACTCTTGAGGCAACTCTCAACTGTGAGCCGACATGCCGCCGGTAGGAGAGAAAAGGAGTTGGGGTTTGGGAGAGCTTGTGGTGCTTATAGGGTTTGAAACCCTAGCCCTAAACCCTAAACCCTAACCCTAAACCCTAAACCCTAGACCCGTAACCCTGTAGGGTTCATAGGGTTGAAACAGAGTTTTATGTAGGGTTTGTAAGGGCTTAAAGGGGCTCCTGGGGCTTCTGGTTCGGGTGCCCCTAACAAGTGAATGTCTTGGGGTTACATCGGGTAGAAAGGGGGTCGCACCGCACCCATAGAACTTTGAGGATTTCGTGGTGTAGGGATTAGGGCGTTCAGGGGCTACCAAGTGAATGTCTTGGGGTTACATCGGGTCAAAAAGAAAAGGGGGTCGCACCCATAGAACGCTAAGGATTTAGGGGTTTTGGGTTTAGGGTGTTCAGGGGTTTCGGGTTAACACCAGAAGGGCCGAGAAGTTTCAGACTTATAGGGCTTAGGGTCGTTAAAGTTTACCGTTAAGGGGTGCCCAAATCCTAAACCCTAACCACTCATTAAGTATCAAGCTCCTATAACTAATCACGGCGGTAAACATGGGTAGCAAGTGCTACTAAAACACCCAGGCCCCCCTGAAACCTAAGGAAACCCTGCCCCTCAAAAAATCCGATGCTATGCCATCTCGTGGCTTTAGGCTTTAGGCTTTAGGCTTTAGGGATTAGGGATTAGGGATTAGGGGTTGGGCTGCTCAAAACAAAGTGTTTGTCTCTTTGCTCCCCTGTCCCTAAACCCAACCTACTTTCTTAGAGCTACTACCTGTAAACCCCATCAAGAGTTCGTGAGCCACCCCAAACCCCCAAACCCCAAGTCCCCAAGTCCTACCAAACAAAGTAGGTTTGGAGTTCTTAAGGTGGTATACTCCCAGGTTGGCAACCCGACATAGCTCGTCCCCTACATTGTTAACATAGTCAAACCCCTGACCTACACCACTCTAAACCCTAAGCCCTAAACCCCAAGCCCGAAACCCTAAATTCTAGACCTCTTCGCCTCAACACTAGCATCAATGATTTGATACATCCGAAACACCAAGATGTAGTAAATGGTATTAAAGCCCCAATTGTTACTCCACAAAGCCTTTACATCAAATTCGAGCTTAATCAATTCTGGAGCCATACTTTTCTTGAAAACAGGTGGGCTATGCTGTCAACCGCAAATCTAAACGCCTCGATTGTGCCCATTCCTATACTCTACCCCCTTTAGACCCGACAGCCAAGCAAGCTGGTTTAAGAACTCCTTGGGTTCTACCCTAAACCCTAAACCCTGAACCCTAAACCCTGAACCCTCAACCCTGAACCCTGAACCCTAAACCCTAAACCCTAAACCCAAAACCCCAGACCCAACTTGGGGCTTGGGAGCCCAGGCGTGGCCAAATACCCGCCTGTGGAGCCCTGCGCATGAGCACCGTGGCTCGCTCTTCGGTCTCCTTCCGGGTTTAGGGTTTAGGGTTTAGGGTTTCAGGTTTAGTGTTTATAGGGTTTAGGGTTTAGGGTGTAGGGTGTAGGGTTTAGGGGAATGAGGTACCCTCTAGAATCTTTTGAAGGGGGATATCAGATGCTCGCAAGGACTTTTAGGGTGTTGAGAGTTGTTTTAGGGCTTGCGTGTTACGGCTTGAGGGCTATTTGGGGGTTCGGTTTGCAACTTTAACTTAACGCTGTTTCGTCGTTGTTTCGGGTTTTAGGGTTGCTTTTGGGTCTTGTACAGGTTTATGGTTCGTGTCGATCGTTAGAGGATATCTTTAGTACGTTTGGGTTGTAAGGGCATTTATGAAGGGTCCTGGCCAAAAGCCTAAAGCTCCTGTTTTTAACTTCGGGCGGAAACCCTAGAAATCCCTAGACCTCTAACATAGGGGTCGGAAAAAACTCCTCACAGTATTCCCGTAGGATCCCTGTATACTTGTATTTTTT